AGCACACACAGCCGGCAGGGCAGCCAGGCAGGCACAATAGTGATAGTCTGCACATTGTTCTCCCTGACGGCTGCAGGCTCACTCCTGAAGGAGCCACAAAGCCGCCAGCCCCCTCGCCTTGCCTGCAGCTGGGGCAGGAATCCCTCCCTCATCCCAGGAAGGGGTCCTAAGACTTGCCTTCCCAGGCCAGGAGGGACTACTCACCCCTCTGGCCCCCCCCACGAAGCCACAGGAAGAAGAGGAAGAGCGAAAGCTCAGAGGACTCCGTAATAGGGAAACCTCAAACTTACTTTTTCTTCTGGTCAGACATGTCCTGGCAAGCAGCTAGCCCAAAGTCTCCCACTTTCAGCTCCATGTTTTCATTGATGAAGAAGTTGCCTGCAAGTCAAGGGCGACGTGTCACCACAAGTCCCTCTGGGGCAGCTTGCTTCCCACGCTGCACCCTGCCCCGACCATAGCACTCACCAAGCTTGAGGTCTCTGTGCAGGATGCCCTTGAGGTGAAGGTATTTCAAGCCTGAGATGATCTGTTTGAGGTAATAACGCACTTCGGGCTCCAGCAGAGTATGGCGAGCCTTCCAGATGTGGGCCAAGGACTGCAGAGAGAGAGAGAAGGAGCTTAGTGATGGTAGGCAAGGACAGCCCTGCTGACTAGGCAAGGGGCAGGCAAGGTCAAAGCCAGTTCTTCCAGAAGTTACACATTCACAAATAATCCTTTTTCCACAGCCATGACCTCAGCAGATTCCCCACAAGAAGTTGAGGTTGCTCAGCACAGCCAGGGGAATCACTGGATTTGTGGTGGCCCCACCAGGAGCTACAGGCTGCCAACAGGAGTAGGCAGTCCGAGTAGGCAGGCAGCCAGCAGTGTCCTCAGTGCCACGCGAAACCACACAGCTTGGAGCTCAGAGGGTGTGACAGAACAGGCAGCCCAGGAGGAGTGTGCTAACAAAGCACCTCTGATAAGGTCTGCTCCAACCAGCCACAGCTCTCTTTAGGAGATCTTTTGACAAGGAGGCCACCCCAACGCTCACCTTCCTACTGCAGTGCTCCAGGAAGATGTAGATGCTCTCTGCATCCTCAAAGTAGTGGGAGAACTTGACAATGTGCTTGTGGTGCAAGTCCCTGTGCAGCTCAATCTCGTTGGTGATCTGAAAGGGAGCAGCAGTACCATGTGAGCGCAGGGTCCCCACCAGCCCAGCACCCCACCAGCCCCATAGCACCCACCTTCTCCCGCTGGTGGGGTTTAGCCACCCGGCTGTGAGGAATGACCTTCACGGCATAGGTTTTGTTGCTGGAGAGGTCTGTCATTTCATAGCATCGTGCAAACCCACCCTATAAGGGAAGAGGTAGTTACGGGTGAGCGAGACAGCTCTTTGTCCCTGCCTCCTTGCAAGCCTCCTCCTCCGTTCCCTTGCAGCACGACCCGGTGAGCGTCACACGCTCCCTCCTGCTGCGTCGCCCACTAAGATCTGAACTATGATGCTCTCACCCAGGGATTTTCTTCACCCAGTTCCTGTAAAACCTCCAGGGCGTTTTTCCTCCCACCAAGGCCGGACTCCGCATCTTTCCACATGACAGATCAACCCGGAAAGTCCTGCGCAGGGCAGGGAGCCCGGGGACCGGAGGCCACCGAAAGGCAGCTCCACGGA